TGCTGAAACAACGTTACTTATGTTATTTTACATTCGCTAATCTCGTTATGAAAGAAAATGCCCAAGTTCATAAGCAGCCGTTGAACATAGCGCCTTTAGCTTTTGTTGTACCATGCCTTATATCAACAGTCATCGCATTGAATATTAAAAGTGCTCTAATACTTACCTTCTTTCATTTCTTCATTCATTCATTCATTCATTCATTCATTCATTCCTTATAACATGCACAATAAACAGTTAGTCAGTAGTCTTACCGAAAGAAGATACCCAATTCTCGGTACTCGACGACTCTCGAAAGCTGCTAAAAGGTAAACGTCAGACAAAGTTTCACTCTGGATAAGTTTTCCAGCAATTTCGCCATAGTGCAAAGCTTCCAAGGCCAAGAGGATGCCGGTTAGGCGGTCAGCCTTTAAGTTGCCTAAATTAATGCTATTTGGCTACATTGCATGTTTAGTTTCCTTGAATAGATAATCAAAAATTCTTACACAAAGCAATATAAAATATTTTGGGCGATGAAGCCACTGCAATATTATGTTCGTAAGGCAGTTGCAGTACTTATATAGTTTCAATTGGATTCGTCTCAGATTGAACTTCCAGTAGTGTGATTCAAATAGGTTGTTTACAACCATGCTCTCGAACAGAAACCATCCGGTGTAAACTTACACCTGCAACTGATCTACATTTAACATCGAATGAGATGTTTACCATTGATTTCACTTGGTGTCGTCATACACAACTGATTGCACAGAGAGTTCACAGAGTAACTCGTTATTCTGTGACCTTTGATGCTTTTCAACCAGGTCAGATCAACCCTGTTGCTAACTCAGTGGAGGGGAGACAACACTGTTGTAACTCAAATAACGAGATTTTGGGTGGAGTTTGCATAACGACGAAGACACCTTCTCATATACTTGTCTCAATTGCAAATAATCATTCTCAGTTGCTAATATTTTCAAAATCTTGCTATGTCGGTTGCCATCTTCGAATTACTCTTTTGTACTAATAATCACTTGGCATGTTTCCCACGTTATCCTTAAAGGCAGTTTAAAAGCCTGACGTCTCCATGGAAAAATATTGGATATCAATCGATTATCATATATTTAACTTACATATATCATAACGAACCTGTGACTGTTCACCAACGTTTAGCCGGCAGTTTATATTTTGAACGAAAACAGCGTACTTACCCAAAACAGCTTGTTCGTTCAACCGATGATAAACAATGGCGACGTTGTGGTGGTAGATTATCGTGGAATGGTTTCTTCGAAAGCGGTAGAAAACTCTCAAGCAAAAGAGATACCTCAGCACGCAAATAACCAGCTTTAACCACTTGGTTATATCTCGACAGGGCAAGTCGTCTTTGACGAATGCCAAACATTCCTTGAGATGCGTGATGCCCTGCTGACAGTCGCCCTAAATTTATCAATAAGAAACAATGGTTTACAGTTCAAGTACTCAGTTAAGGTAAAACAGAAAACCAAACGCAGCTGCAACGTTTGCTACTGTTTTATCAGCTTCTCTCTGAAGGAAGAGTTTATATGTTTGAACCTGATGGTTTACTGATTTGGTTCCTAGACAATAGTGCAAATGATACGATGTATCCTTTTTTTTTGACAATGAACTCAATGGGTAAAAAAACTTAAATAAATATATAAACGGTCTAAATATCATAATAACTCTTTATTTAAAATGGTTTATGCTTCAGGCCAGTTTTGGGATCCAAAACAATGTTGCATGCGTAACGCACAACAATACTATACAAAAAGAGTACCGTAGTCAAACCAGTAAAAAACAAGCAAGTCATTATGC